ACACAAATCACCATTTAGAAACAGGATTATTTTGCATTTCAATACTATTTCCACTAGACAGATCTGGAGGGATTTTGCCACTGACACCTCAAAACACTCCAATGCACCATAGAAATTGTCTTTGCTTCTCAGCCTTTTGTTTTTTTAGCTTTCATAAAGAACTCAAACGTAAATACAAAAGACCTTAGTAATTAGTTTTAAAAAAAAGATAAAAAAAAAAGACAAAAAGAGAGAACTGAGATGGAACCTGCCTTCTGATATTTGAACAAAGAAAGATCACATTTTATAACTCCTTGTATCTAGAGAGACAGTGAGACCCTTTTCAGCAAAATTAAGAAAGCAGAGCTGAGCTTGTTTGGGAATAGTACAGCACCAAAAATCAGATTACAAGAGCAGCTGAATCTTTCCTCACATCTTCCTTCCTTTCAACACTCAGGGAATGAGAGCTACCACCAATTAAAGAATAATGGCTGCAAGTTCAGAACTTGTTAATGTGTGTGTACATCACCTTCAAAACACGAAGCCATAAATTCTGACTCCACGACACACTAGAGGTATTTAATACACATCCTTCTTTGTCATTCCTCTCTTTAATAGCTGGAAGAAATGGAAGGGAAGACAACCTCCCACCAATTATGTGGGAACTGAAGTTTGTGTTTTGCAGCGGGGGCCGTTAGACCCAACATCCACACTGACCCTAAAACTTGGGAGTAAGTTTATAGAAGGGGATTTTGCTCACCCCGTGCACAGAACAAACTGTCATTAGGATAAACAGCAGATTTAAAAGCCTCTTCGTGAACAGAATGAAAAACTGAGACTGAAAGAAAGGAGCTGTGGCATTCAGAGCACAAGCTGGATCCTTCTGTGGATCCAACAGACCCGAGCTCTCAGGTCTCTCTTTCACAGAGAAGTTGCAGGATTAACATTTACCTGTTCTCAATAAAAACACAGCTTGGAAATGCAGTGGGATCAGCAGGATCCACCACCTCGTACAAGAGGCAAGATGAGGCAATGGTACTGTCCCTGCAAACATTTAATGCAGTCCAGATGGACTTCAAAGCTGTGAAAAACATGAGTTTTTTTTAAGAGTTTGACTATTCTTTTGGTCAAAAGCTTGTAGGAGAAACAAAATTAATATGAAAAGAACTGCAGTGAAGATAGCAAAAAACCCTAAATGATCTTGGATTCAATTTCTCACAGTTCTTATAATCTCAGGGTAGGCAAAATAATAAAATATAGAGCAAAGGAATTCCATCAGATTATTTAAAGAAATAGCTAAGAACACTGCACACAATTCATATTGGGCTCTTGCCACCTCTTGTTTAAATCTGGAATTGGAAGAAGTGTGCCTATGCAGACAGGTATAAAGCCCACAATCCATCAGGGGTAGGACACATAATAATACATCCATGAAATAAGGGACAAATACATTACACCCTTCAATACAACAGACTGTTTTCACCTTTCACATAATTCTTAAGTAGGTCTACATGTGAATGAATAGGAATTAGTGGGAGTAATAACACTTGACACCAACCTGGTAACTGGTCTGGAGATCTGATAGGATTAGGAAGGATACTGTATCATAAAACTGGAAATGATCAGAAACACTTTGGCTGCAAACACTTTGCAAAACTGGATTGACTGCATTGAAGTTTCCTGTCTTGGAAATAAAATAAATTTTGACTTCACACAGCTGCTCTATTTTTGTACCATCAGAACAAGTGTTTCAGAACTGCCATTGTGAATCGCAGTCTGTGCTGTGTTTATCTGCTATATGACAAATCAGAATTGGAACGAAAGCCAAAAAGTATGCCTTAAATGACCTGAAAAATGAAATTCTGTCATAGTAGCTTCCTTCCAAGAACAGGAATTAAAAAAGGAAAATTTCTAAAAATGCAGCTGAGCAGTAAAGCAAGCCCTGTAGTGCTGAAGCCTTTCACAAATGTTCATTCCCCATTCTGGCACAGCAGCTTCCAGCACTTGACGCACGCGCTCCCGAAGTCACTGGGCACCAACACTACTGTAACCACCACGTCAAATCTGCTTTCTCTTCTCACAGCCTGCTGCTTGGTCACGGCCCACCACTGCCCTGGGAGCATTTCCCCATCCCCTCTCTGCTCCCTGCGCAGAGCAGCAGCGGTGCCAGGCGCCTTTCCGCTGCGCGAGCGCGGAAGCGCAGCCGCGCTGCTCCGGCGCTCCTCGCTGCCAGCATCCTCCTTCCTCCTTGGCAGAGCGTCAGGGCAGCGCTCCTGCTCCCTGGGCTGGCGGTGCTGGGACAGGCCTGGCTCAGGCAGGCAGCTGGGAAGCCCCAAACTGGAGGGGTGCAAGAGCAAAGCAAGGTGTCCAAGCATCGCTTCGCGGCGCAGCTGCTGGCGTGAAGCGAAGTCAGGTTGGGAGGAGCATTTAAATCAGGGAAAGGTTTTTCCTTTTCTACAGCATCACGCACAGCCCACTCCCAACTCCAGCGACGACTTGCCCAAGGAGCTTAACACAATCCAACGCTTGGCACTATCCAGACACTTGCTTTTAGTAGCAGCATGTGAAGCATTCAAGTACCAACAGTAGGAGCTTTGTAGCTTTATACTACTCGTTGCAAAGAAGAAAAAACAGCAAGTACATTTGTGATCTTTAAGTCTTCTGGTTTCAGGCAGGGAACGAGATAACAAATTCATCCTCATCAAAAGTACAGAAGAAATTCTAACTGCACTCCACTGAGTCATTACACACCAAGATCTGATTTGGGAAACAGAAGCATTTATAATCTTACTTACAACCTCAGTGGGTCTGCTTGTGAATAAAACCTCACATGTGCTAAACCAGTGGTAGTCTTTAAAATAATTAACTTTGCAAGAAGTCAGAACTAGTTCAAAATAGTAAAAGCTTTGCAATCAGATTCAAAAGATGGTGGTTTTTTTTTTAATGTGGAAAAAATAAAAATCAGAGGAAAGTCTAGCTGCAACCTTCCATCACCTGTAATACAAGTGATATGAGCTGTTAAGCATAAGTGAAGCCTGTGGGTGTACTGAGGGCAGCACATTTCTCCCTCTTAGACCTCCAGTCATATTATTAAAGGCCTGTCACATTTTTCCTTCTCCATTTCTTCCCATTTCAGAATCCCCCTAGACATGGTAAGGAGATAATATGCTTGATAGTCACTTTTTCTACCTGAAGATATTTTTTTTCATCTAAGACAGGCTGAATTGGGTGATTAGTCCAATCAAATTTGGTGCCTCGATTCCGGCAGAAGCCAATATTGAATGTTTGAATGTTCCCTGGAGTTATGAAGCACACACCACACCACACTAGCAGAACTAGTCAAATATGCATCACTCAACATGCAGGAAAAATTATTTCATGGCCTTCATGGCCACACCTTGATATGTCAGACCTAGTTACATTTGGGTTTTTTTAATCTGTATTTATTGATCATAAAACAATGCCAGCCTTTCTCAATGCATATATTGATCCCAGTGTGATACCTTTTGATTAGAGAGATGATGTGGCCAATCCTCTTACATTCGAGGGGCAAAAAAAGAAAGAGCTCAGACACGTCCAAAAATGCAATGACGGCTGAACGCTCCCCACTGGCTGCACATTTTGGCATTCATTGGCTTTTTATTACGTAGGGGAGTTAAGCAAAAGAATAAAGATTTTTTTTTTTTTCTGTCTACACTGGGAACCTCAGGACCTAAAGTCCTGAAGCAAACACAAAGTTCTGAAGGAAAGCCCCGAGGGCTCTCAGGAAATTAATCCCCACTCAGCTGACTAGTCATCCCACCAGCAGCCCAGCACCGCTCCTCCTGGGATCTCATGACACAGATGAAAGAGCAACTACACAGCAAAAAAAAAAAAAAAAAATTTTTTTAATCTGTATTTATTGATCATAAAACAATGCCAGCCTTTCTCAATGCATATATTGATCCCAGTGTGATACCTTTTGATTAGAGAGATGATGTGGCCAATCCTCTTACATTCGAGGGGCAAAAAAAGAAAGAGCTCAGACACGTCCAAAAATGCAATGACGGCTGAACGCTCCCCACTGGCTGCACATTTTGGCATTCATTGGCTTTTTATTACGTAGGGGAGTTAAGCAGAAGAATAAAGATTTTTTTTTTTTTTCTGTCTACACTGGGAACCTCAGGACCTAAAGTCCTGAAGCAAACACAAAGTTCTGAAGGAAAGCCCCGAGGGCTCTCAGGAAATTAATCCCCACTCAGCTGACTAGTCATCCCACCAGCAGCCCAGCACCGCTCCTCCTGGGATCTCATGACACAGATGAAAGACCAACTACACGGCAAAAAAAAAAAAAAAAATCCCCAAAAACAACCCGAAACAAACTTCAGCCACACTGGTGGCGACAGAGAAGGAAGATTCAAGGCAACACGGTTTATCCGAAAATATTCAGAACACACACGTTCTTTGCCCCGTTAATGAGCAGCACATGGATTCCCGACAGAAGGGGCTGGTTGTGCCCAGCCATCACTTAGTTTAGCAGGAAGATGCCGAGTGATTCTCCCGGGAGCACCGGGAAGATCTACCAAAGCACCCAATCACGATGCAGAGCAGCTTAAAAAAGCAAAGAATAACAAAAAAAGCACCCTCTGTCTCTAAAGCACGGTCAGTTCGGCTGGCAGAGCAACTCGCTTCGGATCCAAACGCCGTGACACAGCCCAAAAGAAATCCCGGGGACCTGATCCGCAGATTCCCCGAGCAGGGGCAGGACAGGGCAGCCGGGGGATGCTTCTCTCCTCTCTCCCCTCCCTGCGGGTCCGCAGAAAGTCGCTGCTGCCGCCGCTCCCCCGCGCCGGGCACCGGCCCCGTCTCCCGGGAAGGGAGGGGGAGAAAGGGGAAGGGAGGAGGCGCCAGCGCCGAGCACCGGGACAAAGTTGCGTTGGAGCCGGGGGGGCGGCCGAGTCGCTCCCAGCCAGGAGAAGTTTGGCCCCCTCCTCCCCATCCCTCCCAGCGCCCCCGGCCCGCAGCCCCCGGCCCGCTCCTACCGCCTGCGGCGGGGTCCCGATCAGCATCTCCAGGTAGTAGCCGCGGCCGGAGTCTCCCTGGAGGTTCTCCACCATGGCTAAAAAGTTGAGGGTGCCGCCGGGATCCGAAGCCAAGGCCAAGCCGTCCGCAGCCCCGGGGGCATCCTGCTGCCGGCTGCCGCTGGCCGGCCGCAGCACCACCGGGGCGGGCGGCGACCCGGCGGGGGCGGCGGGGTGGGACACGCGGAGCGGCAGGGAGAAGAGCGCCCGGCAGAGCCCCGCGGTGCCGGCCAGGAGCAGCAGCAGCAATCCGGGAGCCGCCGGCGGCGTCCCCATCCCGGCAGCAGCGCCGGGGCCGGGAGTCGCTTCCCAAGTGCGGCGGCTCCGGCCGGAGGCAGCGGCCGCCTGGCTGCCAGACTGGAGCAGCCGAGGAGGGGAGGAGGAGGAGGAGGAGGAAGAAGAAGGGAGCGGCTTACCCACGCCCCGGCTCCATCTCCCCCTCCCCCGAAGCGAGCTCCTCCTCGCGTTTCTCCCGCACGGCCCCCGGGCGGCCGGAGCGCTCCGAGCTCCGGGGGCCGTGCGGGGAAAGTTTCTCCGACCCAGCGCCCACGGGAGAAACTTCCCGGCTCGGCTCGGCCCTGCTCCCGGCCCCGCTAACGGGGCGTGACGGCACAGCGGGGAGAAAAGTTTCCGAAAGCCCTGAAGGGAGAGCGGCGGAGCCGCGGCTCCGCTCCCCGCCCGGTGCGGGGCTCCGGCGGCTCCGTGCGGAGCCGCTCCCATCGCCACCCCGCGGGAGCGGAGGCTGTGGTCGGGCAGGAGGAGGTGCAGGAGGGGATGCGGGGTCACTCGGGGATGCGGGAGCATCGTGTCCCCGTGTGCCGGTTCACACGGTGGCGGCTGGTGTGAGGAGCGGGCGGGTGTGTGTGTGTGCGTGTGGAAATTCAGCTGCTGCGCCGGCAAGAGCGAGGCACGCAAGGCGTCTGCTTGAGGGAGCATGCGAGGCTCTAAATGCCTTCATCATGCACGGAATTAATAACGGCAGTCAAGTGCGGCCTTTTGAAAGATGGGAACACTTGGGGTGGAATTAGTCTCGACATCTCTGGAGTAATGACAGTGCCTGATGGATCGTTGGATGGAGCGGATAGTCCAAAAACCCTGAAATGTAACACTGGGCAAGTCTAAGCAGAGTCACTCTGTGGTTGTTTCTGGCTCTTCCCCCAGTCCCCGGTTGTAGATAAAGTTGAAAAATATCCAGCTGAAGTCATGTGTACTCTCGGTGTCCCCTGATCAATTTGCTGTCCTAGGCAGCCACCTGGTCTCTCCCTGTGTGTAAATCTGTGCAGAGCTGTGTGTTCTGAGATCTCTTCTCTGCCAGAGTACACTGAAAGAGCTCCCCCCTTCCCTTCCTTGAGCTGGAGTAATCATCCACGAGTTTCCAGGTGTTTCACAGGTATTAAATGAAGTTTTTTTAAGAGGCAGACGGTGTTCATTCCTGGGAAGGCTGTTTGGGGGAAGGATACTTGGTAAGGCTGTTAACTGTAGGCATTTGTCAGAGTTGCTTGAACAGGATAATCCTTAAAAAGAAAGTGGGAGCCCACCTTCCCTTGCTGAAGGAAAAGAGGTGTTTTCACATTTTTTCACTGATGTTTTTGTTACTCTGGCTCTGTCACCTCAGATCTGGAGCCCTCGTGCTCACCTTGTAGGGCCTCCCTTGGATCAGTTCAGTGCTTCTGGTGCAGCTGGATGCTTTTCCTCCTGCATCCATGGCAGGAGGAGGATGCAGACCCTGCCCTGGCTGGTGGAGCTCTCAGCAAGAAGGAAAATGCTGCAGGGGAAGCCTGCAAGGACCGTGGCCTGGCTGGGGGCTGGAAAAGAGGTTATAAATGAAGCTTCCTCTCAGGAGGTTGTTGTGCCTGTGGGAAACCACACACCTTGGTAAGAGGTGAAATTGTGCAAAGTTCCCCTGCTGCACAAAGCTTTCTATTTGCCTGACAAGTAGGAAGGTGAAATATTGCAGCCCTGGTCTGTCTAGTCTCACCTGCTCCAGACAGAGGGGAAATGCTGCTGTGGGCTGATGGCAGCTGAGCACCTGAGGGAGTGGCAGCCAGGCTCACACAAAGAGGTTATCTCCGGGGTGCTACAGTAATGGCTTTTCCTGACGTGGCTGGGATAGTGACAGGTTGCATTGTAGGGCCTGTCTAGTCACAGCTGAAGCCAAGGGGGAATTAAAATGCTTGGGGCTCTTCATGGGTGAGCTGAAAACTGGAGAAATGCCCCCGCCCCTTTGGAACAGGGAATGGGAAAAGTAATCAGGAGTATAATTGAACACCCCCTCAGAGTGGTAGGGATGTATTTAGAACAGTCAGCAGCTATGTGCATTTTGTTTTAATTCCTTTACAGTACAGTAAGTCTTCCCCCTTGCTGCTGTTGCTAAGATACATTACCACACTCCTGGCTAAAGCAATTCCAGGCAAAGGAGTGCATAGTTTTGAGAGCATACAAGATATAGCATAGCCTTTAAGTATTTAAGAGAAAACTTGTCCTTTTTTTTTTTTTTTTTCATGCTGTTTGATAAAAGTTCTTCTCGTCCTGTTTTCCACAGCCCTGGATCAGTCTCGTGGTGAATGCTCATCAGGCAGCTGCTGTGTGTGAGATGCTGTGTGTGAAACCTTCCTGCCCTCCCATGGCATCCTCCCAGCAGGGCTGGTGTGTGGGGTTTCTGCCTTGCCTCCCCTGCTCCTTTATTTATTTCAGTATCTGGGAAGGATTAGGCTGTGCCACGTACAGGTGAGAAGTTCTGGAGTATTTCTGAACGCTGGCAGGAATGGGCCTTAAAAGTGCAATGTGAACAGCTGCTTGGGAAAGGAGTTGTAAAAAAAAGTCCTCCCAGAGAGCCAAATGTGACTACATCCAAGATGTTCCTCAGAGGGGAAGTCATCTGTATGCAATGAATGCCACAGTCAACATGCACGTTTGGGTTTTTTATGTATCCCACACAGAAAATAAATGAAATGCCAGAAATAGACTCAAGTTTGAGTGTCTGTGCACTTTGTAGTCTACAATAGTTGGTGAATTTTGTTTTTCTTATTTTTGTGATTCCAAATATGTGTTCTTTGAGTAAATAATAAAAAAAAAAAAAAGTAATTTTAAGTATCAGTCTTGGTGAATAAGCCTTTTTTTTTCCTTGAAGTCAACTGTCTCAATATAATTTTTCAGGTAAATCTTTACTTTAATCCAGCTCTGTGTTAATTTATTTTGATGGCACTGTGGTGCTTTAAACCTTGAGCCACTTGACAGTGAATTAACATTTGTCTCTACAACACAACCTTCCACCAGTATTTACAGAAATACAGAGCATCATAAAAACGCAGCTGCTCTGTGCTGTGGGCAAGGCATGTGAACTCAGTCAGAGGGGACAGTTGCTGTGTGGAGATGTTAAATCAGGCCTGCTCAGACAACCAGCAGCAACAGAGAAAGCATCTGAAGATGCAGAGGAAGTGCTGGAGCTGATCTGAGCAGGAGGAACTGTGTGTGGCTAAAAAGAGATCCTCTCCCTCCCGAGGAGGAAGCTATTAGGGGACTGCTCAGATCGAAGTGTTTCTCTGCCCAGCTTCTGAAGGAGTCAGGCTGACCTGTGCTAGCCTTACACAATGATAAGGGCAGGTGGCCACAAAGACTTCTGTCCTGAAACTGCTGTGTCTGCTGTCTGTGTTCTTGCTCTTAGCATAATCAATACTTTGGTTTTAAGAAGAGTGATTGTTCCTTACTGTATTTCCACAACGCTCCTGAAGGAAACCCAGCTGGACCTGCAGAGGGTTAATTCACAGAATTCAGTAGCCCAAGGAGAGGAGGGGTTTTGTTCTTCCTGGAGGTGACTGGGAAAAGGTCTTCTCTGTCTGTGCTTGTCTTGCAATCAGCTTTTTCATATTTTGGGCCTAATCCAGTGAAGTATTGCTTGTACAAGATGAGTGTAAACAATCAAGGGGCAGCAGAGGCCACGAGATCTGGCTCTGCTTTGTGTCTGCCAAGCTTTGCCTCTGTTTGTCCTCAAAGGCCACGAATAAAACAGCTGGCCCATGGGATGAGACATGTGCCACCCAGGAGAGCTCTTCCAGTGGCATTCCCAGGGCTCTGAAATGTCTCCTGTGCCAAAGAGGGGGCATGGACACTTCTGGGACTTCCTAAAGGATGGAGTGTCTGTTCTCTGTGTAGAGCTCGTGCAAAATGAATCCTGTGGCTGAAGATTCTGTGCTTGGGGATGTAGGTGCAAATCCTTATCACCATCCATCTCTTTATTTTGGGTAGAGGACCTGTGGGTGGGGGTGTCCTCTTTGGTCACTGTGCAGTGAGTTTTCTGAATGATGGGATCTCCCTTTGGCTGCAGTTGGACACGTGAGGTGTTGTAGAGCCAAGAGGGTCAGAGGGATGGAGCTGCTCTCCCGTGAGGAAAGGCTGAGGGAATTGGGATTGCTTGGCCTGGAGAAGAGAAGCTTGGCCTTCCAAGAAAGATGGGGAGAGACATTTTACAAGGGCACGTAATGAGAGGACAAAGGGGAATGGCTTCAAAGTGACAGAGAGCAGGTTTAGGATGTCAGGAAGAAATGCTTCCCTGTGAGGGCAGCAAGGCACTGGAAAAGGTTTTCTGGAGCAGCTGGGGCTGCCCCTGCATCCCTGGCAGTGCCCAAGGCCAGGTTGGACACTGGGGCTGGAGCAGCCTGGCACAGTGGAAGGTGTCCCTGCCATGGCAGTGGAGATGGAACTGGATGAGTTTTAAATTTCCATCCAACCCAAACCACTCCATGACTTTATGATCCCTTTTTCCCTAACAAAGCGCCGTGTGACCAGTCGAAGGGCAGAGATGCAAAATGCACCTTGTTCTGTGCTTGTCCCAGAGCTAGAGCAGAGGGGCTCTGCAGAAACCATGATCCCTCCTCTGTGGAAAGGAGCAGGGACCAAGGAAGGGGAGGCACAAACAGCTGCAGGTCCAAGAAAGGCCTGCTCAGACCACAGAGTCTCAAAGAGCAGCACACAGCTGAGGTTAAGGGAAGGCTCATGAACACCCTGGTGCTACAGCACCATCGATATATTCAGTATTTTGTGTTTACTTTGACTGTTTAGCACCTTCTGTTTGGGTATTTCTGGTCTGGTGTAACTCATTGCTGCCTGGGGAGCTCATGATAAACGCATTGACCACCCTCACAAAGGTGTTATTTCTCCTCACAAAGCTCTGCAGGCTTCCCCAACTCTATTCTGCAGCTGGCACCAGGGAAGAAATAATTTGTGGGTTAGACCTTCAAATGATCCACTATCGACCTTCTGATTCCAGACCTTCCTACACCACAAAAAGCAATGGTTATAAATTCATAAACGATGAAAAATTAAACATGCAGTGAACTATAACAGTGCTTTAAAAAACA